TTTTATTAAAATAATATAATTTATTTTTATTTTTATTTTTTTAAAAGCCTAACTATAAACACTAACTTTTTTTTATCAAATTATCTTTTTTTTTTTACAATTTCTTAAATCGATAAATACTCCCAAATTTTTTAAGAAAAAGTAAAAGAGGAAATAGGAAAGCAAGTTCCCGCTCACATTATTAGTCACATGCTGCCTTCCATGTTGGACCTCTGCGTTTCTCTGACTGTTATTATTCTTACCTCTTCAATTTCAAAGAAGCCAAGAAATAAATAAATGAGTAAAAATAATTTTTTTTTTTATTTTTAATTTTCTCTTCTCCTCTACCGTACCTTACTAACGTTTTTCTGATATTCCTTCAACTGTAAAGACCAAGTAAAAGTACTCATTTATGAAAAATTACTAGCACTCCACCTTTAGTTGATTCTCCATTTTTTTGGGGTTCCTTTTCCATTTAAGAAGTTCTTCCCTTTTTTGGTTTCTTGGGTGGTGGGTTCTGCTGCCTAGTTGCACAGCTATTCCTTTTTCGATTTTTTTTTTTTGGGGGTTTTCATCATCTCTTTTACTAGATTCTCGACTTGGGTTTTGCTCTTCTTTTTGGATTTTTTTTAATAAAATTTTTGTTTCACACATTCACATGCATGTTCTTGGGTTTGTCTGATCTGGATTGGATCACAAGGATTTCTCGTTCTTTTTTGCTACTTGAAGGAGAGTGAGACAGAAAGAAGAGGGGTCTTTGGTGGGGTTCTGTGCCTTGGTCTCTTTTTGGAGCTTTCTTGCTTGCTTCGGAGGGTCGGAGGAGAAGCAAAAGAGAGGATAAAGAAGAAAGAAAGACCAAGAAGAAGGTGAGCTTTCTCAGTTCTTTGGATCCTTGCTTCGGGTCCATTCAGAGAGATTGTTTATTTTGTGTTTCTGATGGTTCAAACTGCTTTCTTTTTTCTAATTTTTGTTTGTCCCATCTGGGTGCAATTCCACTTGGGTTTTTTAATATTATTATTATTTCTGCCAATTATTGGGATGAACTTGCTATTCTGGTGAACAATTATGAGCTGGGTCTGATTCATATGTTGAATTCATTGGGTTGTAGGGACAAATAGACAGCTGGATTGTGTGAATTGTGTTAGGATATTGGGGGTTCAGAATTGAGCAGGGATCATAGATTGTATGCTGAATGGAGTTTTGTCATTGAAAGTCGAATTAGGTCTTAATTTTGTGTGCTATTCTTGGGGTTTATAGCATATATACTCCCCAGTCATGGCAGGTATTGATATTTCAAAGTATGCCCATAGCCCTGTGCACAAGGCCATTGCCATGAGAGATCATGCCGGTCTCAGTGAGTTACTGGCAGGTCTTCCACGTCCTTGTAACCCAACTGAGATTCATACTGAAGCAGCCTCATTGACCGAGGAAGTGAAGGCTGATGCCATTTCTGCTGTGATTGATAGGAGGGATGTCCCAAATCGGGACACTCCTCTTCACTTGGCTGTCAAACTTGGGGATGAAACTGCAACTGAAATGCTTATGGTTGCTGGGGCTGATTGGAGCTTACAAAATGAACAAGGATGGAGTGCACTCCAAGAAGCAATTTGCAATAGAGAGGAAGCAATTGCCACGATTATAGTTCGGCATTACCAGCCATTGGCATGGGCAAAATGGTGTAGAAGGCTGCCTCGATTGGTGGGAACTATGAGCAGGATGAGGGACTTTTACATGGAGATCACATTCCACTTTGAGAGTTCTGTCATACCTTTCATTTCAAGGATTGCCCCTTCGGATACATATAAAATTTGGAAAAGGGGTGCAAATCTGAGGGCAGATATGACTTTGGCCGGATTTGATGGATTTAGGATTCAGCGATCAGATCAGAGTATTCTCTTCCTGGGTGATGGGTCTGAGGATGGGAAGTTTCCTCCTGGAACACTTTGTATGATCTCACATAAGGATAAAGAAATAATGAATGCTTTGGATGGCGCTGGTTCTCAAGCATCTGAAGAAGAGGTTCGGCAAGAAGTAGCTACAATGTCTCAGACCAATATATTCAGGCCTGGAATAGATGTGACACAAGCTGTCCTTTTCCCACAACTGACGTGGAGGCGACAGGAGAAAACAGAAATGGTTGGCCCTTGGAAGGCTAGGGTGTATGATATGCACAATGTGGTTGTTAGCATCAAATCAAGGGGGGTCCCTGGGGCTATGACAGATGAAGAATTTTTTTCAAACTGCAATGAAAATGAAACAGAGAATGAAGAGCTTGATGAAATTTTGACAGAAGATGAGAGAAGACAACTTGAAGTGGCACTTAAATTGGATTCTTCAGAACCTAGTGAAAATGGTGAGGGCATTATTGGGCACCGCCATAGTTGCTATGAGCATAGGGAGATTCCTATTGAAGATATGAATGGTAGTAGAAATGGAGAGGTCAAGCAGGAAAAGAAAGGTTGGTTTGGTGGATGGAGAAAGCGGGAGTCTAAGCATGAAGCGCAGAAGAAGAATGTGCCACCAAGAAGTTCACTTTGTGCAGATGAGAAGGTGAGTGATCTACTAGGGGATTCGCCATCGGGAAGCCAGATCAGACCAGGTAGACATTCTGTGGAAATTGCGTCAAGAGATGAGCTTAGGAGAGGAAGAGACTTGAAACCACTTCAAACACCTTCTTCCACGAGTTCTGAGAGTGGAAATCGACGTAAGGATAGCAGCCGTGAGAATGAGTATAAGAAAGGATTAAGGCCTGTTCTCTGGCTTTCACCTAACTTTCCATTACAAACTGAAGAGCTAATGCCTTTGCTAGACATTCTTGCAAACAAGGTTAAGGCAATTCGTCGTTTGAGAGAGTTACTCACAACAAAACTTCCTGCAGGAACCTTTCCAGTCAAGGTATGTTCTTTTTGTATCTGTTATGATCTTTATTTTGTAATTCTTTATTTTAAAGTTCTGATGCTTTTGTTACCTGTATTATTATCATCTTCCTTTATTATTGAGATTAATGTTAGTTTTCAGAGTATTTGCCAATTTATGATCACAATTCCTCTGCCTTCCCTTGTATTACTTCTTCCCTGCCACTTGATAACAATGGAACTTCAAGAAATTAGGGCTTAAAAAATGGTGCATTACAAGGATAACAACTATTTTGGGAATAAAGTTTTAGAATATATAGTCATGGAAGTGGTGCTGTATCAAATTTGAATCTTTGTAGAAGCCGTTAGACTTTTAAGGTCAAAGTGCTGATTTAAGGTCCCATTTCTCCCATAACTACTAAGTATCATAGGGATATACAATTTGTGTCTTGAGTGCATTGTAATGGATCAGTTGGTCTGTTCTTTTCTATTCATTCCTCTTGTCAGAGGTTGTCCAGGTCTTTGTCTGCAGTTACATATGGAAATTTGAGACGCTGACATGTATGAGAATCCTGCTGGTGTTTTATCCTTTAGCTTGCATAATCTAGTTAATTTTGAAATTAAGATCAAAGGACTTATCAGGATGACTTTATGGAATGTGTCACTTGAGGAACCATTTGCCTTGACTGTGCTAGCCATTTCAAGTTTTATAGCCAATTAGCCAAGCATAAATTGGTTTCACATATGGGTCATTGAAATTTGAAGAATTGGTGTTGGGCATTGGAGGAGTACCATTTTAACGTTTACATTCTCTCTTATTTGATTTTTGTGCAGCTGAATCCCCTGTTGTGCCCTTTGATTTTGCTTCTATATATATATATATATATATATATATGTTTTTATTTTTTTTATAATGCCTTCAGGGTACATAACATCTATGGAATGTGAGCATTTTTGAACAACTGTTGTATACTGTATTATTGGAAGATTCAAGGAATCAATTTGATTGATTCTTGATGGTGGGCTTGGGTTTAAGAGAATTAGGATTTGGATGGCTGTTTTATGGTCGTTCAGAAATGGGTTTAGGTTTATAGGTAAGTTAATGTTCGGACTTTTAGAAATAAAATGGTAAATAATAGCAGTTGCAAGCAAAGAATTTGTGCACAATGACACTAGGTACTGTGGCAATATAATGCACAAAATTCAAAGAAGAGTTTAGAAGAGAACAAGGAGAGTAAAAAGTGGACGTAAACAATATCTAGACATCCATGCCTCAATAAACCATGTAATTATTTTTTTATCAAATATTTATAATTTATAATAAGTAGGTACTTATTTTCAGGGTAGATGCTTGCTCATGCACTTCAGATTTTCATATATTAAGCCATGAGTCACTATTTTAATTATTTTTTCAAAAGCAGCCTATTTTCCAGTTAAAGTGTTTTTTATTTTTGAAAATTGTAAAGAGATCAAATCTAGTTCTTTGCTTACTAATTTAGTTTCTGTTAAATGGTTAATTAGCCCTTCTTAGATGTGCTTTAGAATGAAACTTACCAAAATTCATAGCATACACACTTGCAACAAGAAGCAGCCAAGTTGGACAGTTGACTTTTTATTAATTGATAGTTAATTGACTTTGTAATAATTTTTCTGGCGATGAATTGCTCATTACTATAAGTTTTGATGGATGTGAGGTTTAGACTCTGTTCTGCCCTGTTACAAGATATTTCAGTCGTCCAGTATCTTCTCATCCATTGCTGTTCAATTCTTAACAGCAATTCTCTTAAGTGAATGAAGGTTCTGACTTTTTTCTCACTGTTTTTTTATTCCTTTGTATGTGAATATGTATTGAACAGAATTAAAACACTGCTGATGCTTGAGGCTTTATTATTTTTACCTTCTCTGTGCATTTATCCCACTGTGTAATAGGCCATCTTTTGAAAGTATTTACTTGTTCTTTTAACAAGTCACTGAGAAGTCCTTGCATTTAGGTTGCTATCCCGGTGGTTCCCACAATTAAAGTATTGGTTACGTTTACAAAGTTTGAAGAACTGCAGCCAGTAGATGAGTTTGCAACTCCCCCTTCAAGTCCAACTGCAGGCCGAGAGAGCCCTGCAGTGTCACTTTCCTCAACTTCATCTTGGTTTCAGTGGATAAAGGCCCCATACCACCGTTCTGGGTCATCAAACTGTAGTTCTAGCAATAGAATAGAAAACATTCAAGATCCCTTTGCAATTCCACCAGATTATACTTGGATCTCAGCTGAAGCGAAGAAAAAGAAGATGCAAGAGAAGAGCAAGTCAAAAAAAGCTAGGAGTCATCATCAAAGAACTCAGGATTGAGATGTAAAATAAGTTTTAGCTTGCGAAAGGAAGCTGGTACAAAACAAGTAGGAAAACAGCGTTCTCATTCGTCCATAAAATTGTGATTGTTGATGAAAAAGAAAGTTGGGGATATACTCCTGGGTTGAAATGCATGGTGATCCCCATTGTCAAGGGAAATTTTGGTATATCATTGTGGGGGTGGATAAAAAGGGTAAAAAAAATTGTGATTCTTACAGCAATTCATTTGGCATTGGATGGGATATTACAGGGTTAGAGAACTGATTCACTTCCATTTGTGTTACAAATATTGACTAGTTACTGACAGAATTGGACGACTTACATTTCATCTGAAAGTGTTGAATGTTAGTCCTTTGCTGGTTTAGTATTTTTCTGGGGGAATCTTCTCCTATGTTATGTTTTCCTCATTCTATTTCTGGGGTGCTCGTGTATGTTGTATTGTAAAACAATCTTAGCGATCTGTAATTGAAAAAGACGGGAATTCATGATGATAATTTTTGCCTTTTAGTTTTAGTACTCCCTTTTGCTTCATTGCTAATTATTTAGAAAAAAAAAAACAATAGTCTATTTATGTTCAACTAAAATTACTTGGAATCACAATTCCAACAGCATAAATACAAGCCCCTGAGCTAGTCCAACGGCAATCCAATCACACGTACTACAAATGTGGATAACTGAGTGAAAAATTCTGGTCCAGGTCCTTCTGAATGTAGAATCTGGGGGGTGACACCCATCTTTTTAAATCCCAGGCCAAATTCTGTCCGCCAATCCCTGTGGGAAGACATCATCCAGATTGGGACTTTTGTTTGAATGGTTTAGATCGTTTTTTTCCCTTTCTCAAAGCCATTCCTGCTTTAGTTCTACACTGAGTTGGGATTTGAGGCCTTGACTACAACCAATTGTTCTCACCCACATGTTACTTCAGGCTGCGGATAAAAAAAAATAAAAATAAACTACTTCAGGCTATATATTATCTTCCATTGCTAAGCTCGATCAAACTTGTTCGTGAAGGAGAAACAGGTTTGCACAAAGTGTGCTATGTTGCTAAGCTCGATCAAACTTGTTCATGGAGGAGAAACAGGTTTGCACAAAGCATGCTATGAAACTATAACATATCACAATTAAGTGGCTTCAGTCACCATGAAGCATGACATCCTCACCTTCTGAAATATTTTTGATATTCACTGAATTGCACAGACGCAAGAGTTCCTTACTCCGTCGATCTCTCCATCTTCTGAAACGCTGCCATTATCAGGAAACAGAAACAGCTGTAAACAGAGTCGCTCTTTTTCTTGAACGAGTCTACTATTTTTCCTAACATTTGCTATAGGGGTAGGGTGAAAAGGGTTGTGGGGCTTCGAATTGAACACGCAAGGAAAAGGAAGGGATGTAGGGATTGTAGTATCACTTGCTTTAGAGGTGGTTTGCAAACACAATCCTTTAAAGCTATAAATTAAGCAAAATTCAGAATAAGAAAAGCAGCCTTTACCTGGGCTCAAACTCCTGAACATGAGCAATATCTTTGCCATGGGCATCCGGCCAGCTCACTTTCCTCCTTTCTGTTGTCTTTGCTGGATTCTCCTCTAACATTAACGCTGTTTCTGTTTTCTTAAGATTACTCTTCCTCACTCCAACAGTACTGCTGCAGCCATCACCATTGATATTGCTCCTATCTTGGCCTTGTATTTCATTATTACACGCTTCTTCCACCACGCCGTCCTCCTTCTCTCCACCTCCGTCAATAAAATTCCTTGACGGTGCATAGCAGGAGCACACAAAAGCAGTGCACCTGTTCTGCGTTGGCGCCGCCAGCAGGACAGACAGCAAGATAAAATCCTTTACCAAAGACCCCCGTTTTCTTGACACCATACACCACACAAATATGGAGCTGTCTACGAATTTATCTCTCTCCTAGGCATTTCTTCAAACCGATTACATAGGTTGAGAAAAAGATCATCCACCTGGTCTTTTACCATATCAAAGCAAAAAGGTTATCTCCCAAATGATTAAAGTTTGGTTTGCAGAGAGATACGGTGGGTTTTTGGAAGACGATGCCATCATTTTCATATGTAGCTGACCCCCACTTCTTCTTGTTTTCTTTGACTTTTTGCCTCAGCAATTCATTGGAGAGTGAAATTGCCTTGCTTTAGACTGTTGATATGGGTGATGGAAATCCATTGGTTTCGCTTTTAGTGGCACCAGTGCCTGCAGTAACAATCATGCTGGTTTGTTCATTCAGTGAATACCAAAAGAAAATTAATTTTTATTTATATAATAGTTCAATGATTGTGTAGGGTTTATTTTTAAAATTACTTTAGTAAAAATTAATATATTTAAACATTTTAAAAAATATTTTTATAATTTAAAAAATAAAAAATATAATGTAATTTAAATTATTTTTAAATTATATTATTATATCATTTAATAAA